AATAGCGTAGAAGGTTACATGTGTAACGTAAGATAAGGACCGGAACCGGATGCAGGGAACTAAAGACAAAGGTTCTACCGGAGAAGACACGAGCCTTGAAAAGGCCAAGCGACCGATAAATTCCTCCTTGTCCCTTTCGTTTATCCTTCCACACTTTTCTTTTACCGTGTTTATGTCGAAAATTAAAGGAGTATAAATAACTATATTGAATGTAGAAAAATATTTTCTTTGAAATCTAATCACTTCATTCCTTCATTTGTCATCTTAATACTTGTTTAATTACATTAATGTCTTACATTTTAATTGTTTTTTTTTAAACACATATGTGTATACAGTTATATTCAGAAAAAAATTATGGGACTCAAGTCTTCCAATCGTTCAACTTAGGCCAGACTTGATGGCTCTATTGGAAGCTTCACACGTTTCTATGATTCTCAGTCTGACAGTTGGATCCCTGTTCGAATATCAGGTTATACGATGCTCATCATTGTGAAACATATGCGTGACTGAATACTGTAGCAGCATGCGTGTATATTCCAAGACAACGATGGCATTGTATTCCAGTGTATAGAAAAAAATGGATATTGATGAAAAATTACATCATCTATACGGACCATATGAGTGTCTATATCGTGACGAAAATTTGATATAATAAAGCAACTAAAGAATTCCTCTCGCATGCTCGAATTTTCTAGTCCAATCAATCTCCATACTTTCAGATACGCTAATTCAGCAAAAGTACACAGAAACTGTGCGCAGCATGGGGCTCTCAGACTTTCGCAGGATTAACCGCAGACTTTCCTGGCTTCGAGGACGCCGGGAAGTGCTCGTGTGCCGGATTGGCCCACGGGATTAAAGGCAGAAGCGACAAGGCAGGTCCTGCGAGCAAGGTGACTCGCGAGGACCACCCGTCGAGGCCGTTTAAAGGATTATCCTCGGAGGTGCCATCGTGTCAAAACACCGGCCCTCTGAGAATGGCTTGACTTCGACACTGGTCGCCATAGAATCATTGGAACGAAGAAGAATCGCCAATTGTTGGGTTGTCGTCAGAAAAAAAATCTTCATGAACGAAGAATTTAAGCTATGAAATCTTTTTTGGATTTAGACTACTCCAATGATTAATTAAAACAACACAAGTATGCAAGAACGTTCGACACCCAATAATTGTTACGTTATAATTGATAGTAATTTCTATATAACATTCATTATTATGGTTAAAAGTATTTGTTAATTGTAACCTTATTAAATTATGTAATTTTCAAAAGTTCCGCCATGTTAACTAGAATCTACTTGTCGCAATTGACAGTGCAACTTCAACCATTTCGACATACGTTTCCTTCGCCATCACGCTTCTGGTACAACATACACATATAATACGCAGTAATCGCCTGTACGTGTGTCCACGTGTGTGCGGACACGGCCTGTCAAATAACGGCGGCAGCATGGCTACCGAGCACATATTGTCCAGTCACAGACCGCTACCGGGACGAAGAGAAACTCCGCACTGACAGTCAGCACCATTAAGCCCCATTATAGGTTCGCTCCTTCGAAAGGTACACAGTATTCGCGTTGCACCTTCACTGAACTTTCCGTCGGTCGCGCGGCAACTCGTTAAACGGAAAGACAGGGCTGGCGTCGCTTAAGGAGACGATAATGAGTTCTCTACTTTGTGACGGGAATCGATACGGTGTGCACCATGGACTGCAAAATCCTGTGCTTAATTGCAAATAGACTCCTTTCGAAGAAATTTCTCGAAAACGTCGAGACAAATGTATTCATTGTTTCCAATTATAAATAAAAGAATATTCAAGTTTTATAAAGTATTGTGTTTGCAATTTGTGTTGAAGTATGTGTTTTTCATTAATGTGATAATTGATGCTCTGCAGGATCGCCTTTAAACTCTCTGAAAGCAAGAAGACTATTTTGAAACGGATAAGATCTAACATCAATACTTTGTTTAGCCAATAATGCCTAGTTTGTTACCTGGTATTGTTTGTTTGCCTAATAGCCGCATTGTTTTGCGTGCTACTACAACGTGAAGGCGCGAAGATCACAAAAAAGAAAGATCGTATGACAAAACCGTGACTAATATCGTCCTCGGGTATTTCACACGTGCAAGCTGCACCGAGGAATTCCGAAAAGCCTGGAAGGAAGCTGGTATCGTATTAATTGTCGCTGCCTTTCGTCAGGCCGTTAATTAAGTGGTCACCGCCTACACTGGACGTCGGGACGGATTTTCCAGCCACTGGTGCCACGCTGTCTTGCGGCAAACTGTCCGGAAAGACGATCGTTTATATCTTTTTGGGCTAGAACGGCGCAAGTCCACTTCATCTTCCAGTCATACGGCACCATTTACATCAAAACTTTCTTATTCTTTTATTTTTATACAATTTTGCCACTGACCAAGTACAGAGACGATTATTGTTTTGTATCAAGCAACATAACCTAAAATTAACGAAATAAATAAATATAATTTGGAGTATCTTCCTAACCTCTTTGAAAGAAGTACCTAAAGTACCTGAAAATTAACCTATTTACATAAGGTCCTTAAATCATTTTTCAATGTTGAATGTAGCATTAATATTGAAACACCCTGTATTTAAGACATTCAGTACAGAAGTTTCAGTGGTCCAAGCATAGCACGATCCAAGAGGATATTTCTGCTCGTATCCGCTGGCCGGGGAACGTTTCAACGCTTTCCGTGACGACTCGCGAGTATCCAGGTTTTCATTCATGATGGAAAGCTAAGTCGCCCCGTATCCTCGACAGGATTCCGAAAACGGTTCACTGTTTTCTCAGGCAGTCAACAGGCCCTGCTCGATATTGGCGGCTCTCTGTTTTCTTAAGCAGCGGGCCCACTTCCTTATTGCCACGCCCGAGAAAAAAAAGGAGGATAGACAGCGTTCGGTGCCACGCTGTCTGCCAAAGACGGCATTCTCCGGCGACGACGGCGAGTACAGTCGTTCTTCATTCTCCCCCTCTCTTGGAAGTGTTTGAAGGACCCTGGTAATACGGTCAAACCGATGAGATCGCAAAAAATTAACTTCAGTGCTTTTTATTGGGCGATATTTCATTACTTATAGTTTTTGCAATTTATTAACATTACAACATTATATATACGTAATCTGATAGAATACCTACATGTTGAAAAACACGAATCACGTTCGAATATTTCTCTTCCCTTGTACCATCCTACAAACATTCATCTTCAAGTCATACTTCAGTTCTAACATGCCACTTCTTACGTATATATTCCTACAAAACATACTGCATACTTCCGTGAAACACTTTTGCTCTCGTCTATTCCGCGGTTCCACCATTTTCGTAATTATAAGACTATCCGGTGAACCAATGGTAACGACGCTCCCATCTCCCCTAACATCCATATCCGCAGCCCTGAATTTCGCATACGTTCGAGACCACGATCGAAGAAAGGCGTAGGTCGACCGAAGAAAAGGGTGGTTAGGTGGGGTGAAGTGCCGCCCTTCGTAAAGGGAGACAGACGACAGGAACGAGAAAATAAGGATGAGGAGGGGATGGGTTTCTTTGTTTTGTGTGAAAACAGCCGCAGGGGTGACGGACTGTGGCATCAAACCAAACTGAATATTGCGTCCGCACTTACGTCGCTTCCGTGTCCTTCTGAATGCATAGGAAAGGTAGAATAGCCGCACGATGGCATGGAAAACGGAACCTAGTTCTGACATAGGGGAGAAAAGGTGGAACTCGAATATCGATCGACGAATATGATCTTCGAGAAAACGTATGATACAAATTTGTTCCTTCTTCCAGCATTTACATGTTCACTGTCCCTTAATTGTAGGATAACCCATAAACACCTTGTACATATGAACAGTATTTATTGCTTCAATTTCACTTATAACATTTACGACGTCGCATTACACAAGACGCGTGGCGTCCACAAGAATCCACGACTCGTAAAAAGTCAGGTTAAGACCTCGTATATGAGGTAAACACATAGGAGGACCTTCGCGGCATCTGCAATTAAATTTCGTGATAAATCGTCGCCCTACTGTACCGACAAATCACGGTAATCCGTATTAGCTTGTCTTCAAGACATTTATCATTTTTTCCGTCGAGTCGTGGCGTTCGCAGGGCCACGAAGTGAGTTCCTCGCGCGACTTCTGTCCATGTGTGCTGAAAGTATCGAGGAGTGGGGGATCTTCGCGCTTGCAGCGCGTGAAAAAAATAAATGAGCGAAAAGGAACATATCGAGACGTAAATCAGGCGGCAATTAAAATTAGCGAGGGGTTCACGCTAAACGGCCGGTTACATTTATCCGTCCACGGCTCTTTGATGAGTTTTCCCGAGAACGGCTCAGTTACCTCGAATTTCTGTCGGTTTTTCGGCATTCGCAGCTCCAAGGTTTACGCGTATCCGTTGTCGCTTGCCTTTGATGTTGTTCACCATCGAACCCTCTTCCTTCTCCACGTTCTTTCCGGCCTCTCTCCTTCCGTCTTCTTCACTTCGGTCTTTCGAACTTCCTCCACCTCTTCCTCTTTCTTGAAGAACCTTTCGATATGCACACAATCCTCGATTTATGCAGTTAATTGCTACTGCGTAAATCCAGACTATATTTTTATAGAAAGATAAAGCGTATGTAAATTAAAAAATAGATTATCGTGTCCTATAATGAAGTATACTATGTGTTTCAGTGTCGGTTAACAGAAATCTCGCAAAAGGGGTAGGAAGTCAAGAATTTGGAGTTTCCAAATTAGACTGGGATTTCTCAATGAGGACGATTATCCGACGGATCGACTGGTGGCGTTATTCGACTAAAACTATCTAATCCACGGATTGATGGAGGTCCCGGCAAATGGCAACTTTCAAATCATCACCGAACGGTTTCCCTTTTTTCCCGCCTAGTAACTGGTGGCGTTGTTTAACATAGAATCCATAATCCACAGGTTAATCTAGACCCATTTACGAGTTAATCTAGCCACAGTGTCAATAGAGATGCGGCCTAGTCTTGACCAGCTCTTTCAGATCCGACTCGTTCCTTTCTGCGCACGTATATCTCTGAAGGTGGACACGAAAAGGGCACGAGGCCAAAGAAAAGGACACCTCAAAAGGTTCATCCTTGTTTCTCCTTCATTCTCGGTGTTTTTAAGTCGTTCCAGATGGTCAGGGTCGAAGTTCTCTCGTGGCAACCACCTATAGGGTGTAGACCCCCTTCTAAGCCGAAACAAATGTTCTTCGCGGCGTGCTTTACCGAAATTCGGATGCCGAAATTGGTCCGTGTTCGATAACAAAGAAAAAACGCGACACGGAACATGCGTAATGTGTGGTAATGCGTTTCTGTCCGCTGATAAGAACGCAGGTGCAGTTGTAGTTCGAGAACAGTGAAGATCGAAGAGGTTAAAAATATACCCTGACAAAAATGAATTATAAACCTAACCCACAAACCGCGAATTGTTTTAGGAGAATGTTCACGGAACGAATGTGTTCGAAAAAAAGTATCGAAAAATGTTTAGGTTATTTTATGCTTTTTTATTGCTATCGATTAATTGTATTTGTTGCTATTCTTTTTAACAGATCTTTGGGATCCAATGAAAACAAGAATCATGAAATAAAGTTTATTTTATTATTCATTATTTTAATATAAATAGGTCTTTTGCCTCATTCTGAAAAGATGCGTGATGAAAAGAGTGTTTCGTGTCTTTTAGAAATAGAAAGTGGCGCAAGTTCGACCCTTAAGTGGCAACGTTTAACTCAAGAGCGAGAACAGTCGAAGGATTCGTAAGTGGCATGGTTGAAATCGAATATTTAGACTCGCTGTGACGTGTGTACTCGTACATTTTCCATTTTATTGCCAGCTATGTTAATTGTGACGGGCCCACAGACGTTTTGATTATTTTTTCACTACGACCTTTCTGGCAACCTTACCTACGGAATCACCTTACTCTCAAGAACGAAACTCTTGAGACGATTTCGACGAAATTGTCCTTAATGCGTGAAGTGAGCTCTTTCATCCACGAGGGCAACACTTTTCACAATTTTACGACTTTCTCTGGAAAATCGCAAGATATCGATAACGATCTTGTTACGTCGTTATTCGAGATGGTGCACGGATTAAAGGAAGAAAATAGTTTGTAAATATTTTTTAGTATGGAGAAAATTGTTTAACGTTACAGTGTTGTTTTTAAAATATAATAAAGCATGTTTTAAAAGAAATTAAATCTTGAAATCCACCTGTTAATCTGTGAAAAAAAAGAAATGAAGACCGAACAGAATTGAGTGAGCGAGCATGCAAGTTGGCAACTGAAAAAATATTTTCGTTGACTCACTGTGTTTCTATTGATATGCAAATTGCATCGCGTACTAGAGCTGGCCCGGTATTGAAAACTGGCTCATCGATCATTAAGATGAAAGATTTTGATGGACATAAATTTGATATCGAGAACAAATGACCATAATTCGTCTAGTCCGTAAAAATGTAAAGGGGGAAAAAAATGACGTGCAAGACCTGTTTCGATCTAACTAACCTACCTGTTGTGCCAAGGTCACGCGGAAGGTTCAATATTGATTCAGAAAATATACGAAATCAGTCGGTGAACAGGTTGGGACAGGGGGGTTTGAACGATGTTTTTATTTAGTCTGGGATAAAGTATTTAAGGATTCAACTTTATGTGTTACGCGAACTATCACGTAACTTTAAGAGTGATTGTTATACACAATGACTTAATCTTCAAATGCAACAAAAACATTGATATCAGATTTTTAAGGAATTGCAGTCTATTATAACAGATTGTAAGAATACATCTATGTATTTCCTAAATTATGTAGAACTGTTTAATGATAATTATTACAATATTTACAAATTTTCATTTTAATAAAATTTGTAATTATTTTAGGCCCTTATTGATTAATTTATCTTTCCTTCTTAATGTGAATAGTGACATCTACCGGTGTAGTTTTTACTTTAAGGTATTTTCTACAATCATTAAAGTAGATTCCTGCAGCTAAAATCATTGGAAAAAAGATGCCAAGTTACATTATCTATTGAATCATCATCATTCCTGGCACAGACGTGGTACAGAATAGACCTAACACCTAATGCATTTTTTTGTCCAGGCAGCAGGGCTGAGAGTGCCCTTACCATTTTCGAGCCGCTTCCAATGTTACCGATTCAGCACAGAAAAAGATGACAACATTCATAGTGGTTGGAATTAAAACTAAACGCATCTATATATTACCAGTAAGGTATAGAACAGCATATGTTCGTACACAAAGTATAGAATTCTATACTTTTAAATGTATAATGTATCGATTATTACGCATTTCTAGCGATATCCAGATTTAGTTTATTTAATTTTATAATGGAATATTGTTTAAAGACTGAGTGTTTTGCAAAAGGAAATAGATGTGGTGTGTAAGGGAGAAATAAACAGACTGTAAAATGCTGTAAAACAACACTGGTATATTATAATCTTCTGTAAAAACATTTTGTACAGTTATCTTAAAATAAATAATTGATTTTTTGATAAATAATTGCAGTTCTTCATTTTTCCTGGTATTGAATCCTTTCCTTGATTCCTATGGTGACCTGAAACTTCACTCCGTAATTTAAACAAAAATTTAAATTGTTTTTTAACAAAAAAACACTAATTATTTTTCAATCAAAGTACTTGTAAATAAAACAGAAACATTAATAAAATAATCCGTTAATACATTAATAAATAAAGCTGCTTTTTTCCGCTTCGAATATCGGACTTGGAGAATTTTGGCATTTCTAAGAAGTTATTGACTTACACTACTGGCTAACTCCGAAAATTTTCGAGCTTCTGAAAAATGATTGACTTGCAATACTGGCTTGAACAAATTTCGATGTCTGACTTATGATTGACTCGCAGGATACTTCAGAAAATTGAAAATCGGACGAAAATTAGGCAGGTCAACCATAAGTCAGAGGTCGAAACTGGTTGTCAGAGATATGGTTGACTTTATTACTAACAAATTTCGATGTCTGACTTATGGTTGACTCGCAGGAAATCCCAGAAATTTTAAAATTTTCTGACTTTTCTGCGAGTCAACCATAAGTCAGACATCGAAATTTGTTCAAGCCAGTAGTGCAAGTCAATCATTTTTCAGAAGCTCGAAAATTTTCGGAGTTAGCCTTTATGTGTGAATTTAACAGAGGATCTTTTACATCTGTCGACTTTACCATCTTTGATGGTTGGATAGTATATAATTCCTAAATTCACCGCTCTATCGTAGAGGGCATAACAATCTCGTCTATGCTGCTGGCGTGTTTCCTACTTTACCAACTGTAACTTATATATGTAATACGAAGACTACCATAACAGCAGTTGATAATATATGTATATATGAAAATTAAAGTGCAGAAAAGATAATTTTTACTGAATAATGCACTATTTAGCTTTTTGTACAATAGTAATGAAAGATATACTTCTATTCTTATCAAAAGCCTTATTAGATTCTAATGAAAATATATATAAAGTGTTTTTCGTAAAAAAATTATTTCTACCGTTTTTAAAAAGTAATGTAAATTTAAAGAAATCTCAAATAAACGTATTTAATTCCTAAATTTTTAGTTTTTTTCTAAAAAACTTGTTCAAGGGTGACGCAAAGAGTGACGTAGGGAAGAAAGATACTTCTTTTGGTATCATCTTCCCGCTGGACAGTCCAAACAGATGGTTCACGTCCGAAAGCTCGTAACGATACTCTGTCTTGTAAACACACAAGGAACGGCAGAAGTATTGTCAGTTTCTTCGTCATACTAGAACCAGTGTCTTACCAGAAAACTTGCCTTAAAGATTTCCATCGATGAGAAGGGCGAGTGGTGGAAGAAAGAGTTAAGATTTATAACTTCCGGTTCATTGGAGAAGATTCTTAGAAGATGGCGTTTGCTTCGCAAGGATTGCGGTCGCTAAAAACGATCGATTTACAATCGATTCAAAGCATCGATTATTTTGCACCTTACTAGCTAATTGAAGTGTTTTCATACGTGCAATATTCTAACCTCTTTTTTACCCCACTCTGCGTTTGTCTTAAGGAAACTTGCCACGAATCTACCATATTTATTTGATTTTAATCGAAAAATTGAATTTCATAAATCATACGCAATTTGACTGTACGTCTAACCTATAATTCGGTGTATCAAGTGTTTACTACCACTGATTGGTCAACAATGAAGTTTCACCCTCGATACTGTGCAAATAACCACGTCGACCAATGAATAAGAAAACCTGTCAACGCGTCGAAGTATTCTTCCATCTGGTGTCCTAAGAATTCATGAATCGAGAAATCGCGCGCAGTTACCATCGACTCGTAACGCAGGCCGCAGTATGTTCACGGTGCTCAGTTTCTATTCCCGTAGGCAAAGTCTTTTAACAAACGGTCGTTAATTTTTAACGATGCCGTTAAACGTCGGTCCGGCAAGATGGCTGCAGCTGTAACGCTCTTCGTTCTAGTCTGGAACGAGCACGACGAGGGCATATCGAAGCCGGGTGTAATTTATGCCGCAGATTTCGCGATATCCAATGTTCGTTTTGTATTCGTCGCGTCAAGCTGTTATTCCGTGGTTATGGTCGAATATTAGTCGTAGCCCTGAGAACGACGTGAAATAAAGCGCCCCGCGCCAGAGTCGATTGTAATCGTCTAAACATTGTGGTGGTGTGAACGATAAATCGTTTGAATTATATCGCGAAAAAGCATGGACGCTTCCGTAAAGGATAATACGTCATGAAGCATCACCGTAATCAAACGATGCGAATAGCAATACATTTTCATTGAAAATAAAAAATAAATAATAAAACAGAAGAAAATCTGAATGAATTCATTTTGATCACGTTGTTAAAAATCTCGTTTACAGTATTAACAAGAATGAGTATACCTTCTACCAATATTTATATACTTTTAGGCTTGTCATTTTTAACAACCTGAACATAGTCGAATTACAATCGCACACTGATGCCAATACTAATAAAATTAAATCGCGCACACAACTATCCATATCTCTTTCTCTCTCTCTCTCTCTCTTTCTGTGTTCGTTTTTTTCATATGGAAAGAAGAGGCAGACAAGAAAAAAAGGGTCTAAAGACCCGAGAGGACAGAATCTCGGAGAAGTCATGACAGAACAACCCCCTACGGTAGTCGAGATCTAAACAGTAAAACACTGGATTAAGTGGGGTACACACGTTGCGTAAACAACCAAGCTCCACAGGGGTGCGGTCCGGTTGGTGAAAAATTTCTCCGCAGCAGGAAGGCGTTCAATTCGTAGACAAGCGCTATTACATACATACACTATCTCAA